GTGCGTCTCGAACGCAAGCTTCGGTATGATTATGCCGAGCTTAAGGCCAGAGACCAATTGCGCAAGCGCACGCGCTATGCTTCGGCTACTAAGGTCGCCGCGAGTGCTGGTCAGTCTGTGACCAACAACCCGCCAACCCGCACCACTAGTGGTGGGTAACGGCCTCGGTCTCGAGATGACCATGGCTACGATGCTCAAAAGCATCCAATGCATATGGGCAGTCTTGACGAAGGGGTTCCTCAAATTCCCATGAGTTTTCAGACTCAGGGTATCCACGCCACTTTACCAGATACTGATATTGGCCATGACGACGACGTCGTTTTAGTAGTATCTCGACATGAAATTGACGACACCCATGCTCGTCGAGCAAAGTCGGTGGCGGCCGGTGTACCGGTGGAGGCCCACGAAAAATTGGTTCTCGAAGTGAGGGGTCTTCAAGAGGCCTTGGGTAAGTCCCAGTGCATGCCGGATGCGATGCAAAGCCGCCTTCAGGCGATGGAGCAAGCTCAAACTCGGAGCGAGGGTCAGTTGGACTTGCTGATTCGTCTACAGCAATCCGGGGCAGTGCCCTTGTCGTCGGCGCAAGCGCCTCCAAGTTCACATGGGAAGGATCCCGGTACGGCTTAAGTAAGCCTACGTAGAACACTGGATGTGTGCGCAATTTGCGCGGGAGGTTTAGCGTATACGCAAGTCCCTTCTTGGCCGTGACCGTAAACGGTCCAATAAAGCGTGGACGCAACTTTGTCTTAAAGACAGCAGACACTACATTTGTAGGTAGATTTTTAGCATTGAGTAGTACTTGGTCTCCGACCTCGTAAAGATCAATGCAATTTCTGCCTTTGGCATCAGCTTGTTGTTTTTGGGTATCTTGGCTATCAGCCATTGCGTCACGCACATGTCTTAAGACGTTTAATCGCGTTGCGAGAAACTCGCCTACCTGTTTATGAACAGTAGCAGGGATGATATCAGCGAGCCGATCGGCAACCTCTCCCCCACCAAGCCCTGAATCACGTAGTGATAGCGTTAACGGAACGCGAGGGTGAGTGAGACCGTTTATATAGGACGGAGTAAAGCCTGTTGAGGCATGAACAGCGTTATTCAACGCAAACTCAATAACAGGAAGCATTGAGCTCCAACGCCTAGGCGTACCAGCGCAAACACTGCGCAAAATGTCATTGATTACGCGGTTAACACGCTCAGTTTGACCGTCGGTCTGCGGATGATCCGCTGTGGACATGTCCAACCGAGTGCCAAGAACCTTGAAGATAGACTTCCAAACCTTTTTAGTGAAGCTGGGGTCTCTATCAGAGATAATTGCCACCGGCAAGCCATGTTGGTGAAACACACGGTCGATAAACAGCTTTGCTGTGCCTTCAGCATCAATGCTATCCGGCACAGCCGCTAAGTGAGCCATCTTGCTCAATCGGTCAACATAGACCACAATACCAGTGTCGCCTTCCGATTCTTTCGGTAGGCCAAACACAAAATACATGCTCATGGACTCCCAACAACCAGTGGGTACTGGAAAACTAGCCAGCGGCGCCGCCGAATGTGCCGAGGGTTTTACCCGTTAGCACGTTTTGCACGTACGCACATAGGTGCGCACCCACTTCTAAAGTTTGGGCCACCAATAACTTTGGCTCACCGAGCTATAAGTCTTCTCACGACCGAGATGACCACTTAAAGCAGTATCATGTGCCTCATAGAGGATTCGATACTTTGATTCCTCATCATGAGATACTACGATACGAGGGTTATCCTCAATATCCGTGCGATAGCACAACAGGCCATTATCAATGGAATATCGATATAGCCTCGCACAAAAACGTGCCGACAACTCGATGTCCGAGTCTCTAAACTTATCGCTCCCAAGAGCACGTAGCAAAGCTACACACTGATCGTCCTTGGCATATGCCGCACAAATTAAGTCAGTGACTGACGACAAAAGAGTCGTAACATGAGCAAGCTCATAGTCAGTTCGACGCGGTAGCGCATCAGCCAAAGCCTTTTGCTTACCTGGCTTGTACTTCACCTCGAAGTCATATTCGGCAAAGAAGGAAAGCCAACGAGCCAATCTCTGCGAGAGATGAGGCGCCTGTGTCGCATTGCATAATGACGCATGATCTGTATCGATCACAAACAGCTTTGAGTCAAGCAGATGTACTCTGAATTTTACAAGAGCGTACTTCATAGCAAGTAGCTCTTTGTCATGAACAGCATAGTTCTTTTCAGCAGATTTCAGCTGCCGAGACTCAAATGCGATGACGCATTCGCGTCCATCGACATCTGTTTGTAACAGAGCACTGCCTCTGGCGAAGTCAGATGCGTCACAGACGACACTGAAAGGTCGATCAGGATCGGGCAAAGCCAATATTGGCGCATAAAGGAGACTCTCCTTAACTGCTTCAAAAGCATTATGGTCGGTGTTACCCCAACACCAATCCACATCCTTTTTAAGGAGATTGGACAATGGCCGAGCCATATCTGCGTAATTTGCACTGTACTTATGTAAGTAATTGGCAAGGCCAAGCCACTTACGTAAGTCCTTTTGGTTCATAGGAAACGGTCAATTGACTATGTCATTTACCTTAGCGGGATCCGCTCGAAGGCCTCGCTTTCTAGTGAAGCTCCCTAGAAAGGGAATCTCTTCTGCACCAAATATGCACTTCGATGCGTTCGCATACAACTTATTCGTTCGCATACACTCGAGCACCGCTCGTAAATGATCGATGTGGTTATCCACATCTGATCGCCCATTCATTGCACTACTAAGGACAAAAATGTCATCAAAGTACGTTTGTGCATAGCCTCGATGAGGTCTGAATAGTTGCGTTACCAGCCGGAGAAACGTAGCCGGGGCATTTAATAGCCCTTGTGGCATAACGAGCCACTCCCAGAGCATACCGCTCGGAGTACTCACTGCTGTTAGTGGAATATCACTTGCTCGCATAAGCAGTTGGTAATAACCATCGACTAAGTCGAGTGCACTGTACAATGTACATCCCGCCATATTGTTCTGAAGAACATCCTTTCTAGGAATAGGCGTCTGCGCCGGAACAGTGGCTGCATTAAGCTTATTGTAAGCATGCACAATACGCCACTTGCCATTTGGCTTTTTGACACAAAATGTCGGTTTTGAATGGGAAGACTTGCTCTCACGAACCATTCCAGCCGCGTGCTTATCACAAAAGAATTCGTCAATGACGTCACACTGTTATTTAGGCAAAGGCCACTGCCGTGTTACACAGTATTTAGTTCCAGGAACCAAGTCAATTTCATGACGTACACCTCTATCGGGAGGTAAGGCAGAAGGTGGGTTGTGATACAACACATCTTGAAATTCCTTAACTAAAGGATAGAACGGATCCAAAGGATCTTTAAGGATCGAAGATCCACTTCGTGAACTAAGTACCGCCTTTGTATCCTCTAGGATAGACTCATCCATTAACGAGGAAAGATTCAACTCAGTATCAGGTCTAATGACCACTAATTCGGATAACTCTCCTGCCTTTGAGGCCTGGCTAAACTCGCAATTAGACATTTTGTCTAGCTCACACAGAGCGTCCACAGATGGAAGGGTTTCGAGGCTCACGTTGCCATTAACCTGACCAGTCACTCCATTAACAAGTGTATATAGTGTATTGCTAATCTCACTGTGAGGACGCCTGGCGCTTTACAGCTGCTACTCGGCGTCTCGATTGTCTCTTCGAGACCTTACACCCCTTAGGGGTCGGGACAATATTGTCCCCATGGTTACTACCAACCATAGTACGCTCTACACGAGAGCTTTTGTCTTGACCGACATTAGGTGTGGTGCCCTCACGGCCGTCCACTCTATACGGCGTATCGCCAACAGTGTCATTACTGACATTAGGTGTGGTGCCCTCACGGCCGCCCACACCATATGGCGAATCGCCAACAACGCCATTACCGGCGCTAAGCGTGGTGCCCTCACGGCCGCCCACACTAAATGGCATATGGCCAAAAATGTCATTACCGACATTCAGTGCGGTGCTCTCACGGCCGACCGCACTCGGTGTAGTTTCACGTGCCTCCATACACACATCAAAGGAATCACATCCTTGATCACTCGGCCCTAGGCCAACCATGCTTTCAGCATGCAGTGACTCGTTATCACAACGAGTACCACTCAACGGAGTACGTGCCGTTTCACTAGTTTTAGACGAGCTAGGCTCGAAACTTACGTTTTTAACGTTGGAGTTAAATAACTCAAACATTCCAATTTCCAGCACATTGAAATCTTCTGTCAAAGGCTCGCGCCAATAGTGCTTCTGTTGCCTAGCAAAGCTGGGTTCAAGACTCTCCAAAACTTCGCTAGGAGCATTGCGCGAGGCGCCTTAAGTCTTAGACCTTTAATCGATCCTTGGATCATGGCGCTCAAGCCAAGCCATACCTAGGATGAGATCATATCTCGAGTCTAAATCTAGGACAAGACAGCGCTCAATACTGTCAAAGTCTAAAAACTTTAAACCTAAGTTCAATGAAACTTTAGGCACAGTAACACGACTTCCAGTCGCTAAACGAACCGTGATAGAATCACCCTCATGCGCTGTAAGCGCCTCAGCATACTGTTGAATTCCATGAAGCGAACGACGTCGAGTATAATTGCAAGACGCTCCAAAGTCGAAAAATATCGACCACGGCCTCTCAAAGCCCTTTTTTTTCGTCTCGGCGACTAACAAGCCAGGCTCCATACCAATAGGTACAGAGCTCTTTGGGGCTAAGCTCTGTTTATCTTTACCTTCTAAATGTGTGACAGATTCCGAATCTTCACCGGTAAGTTGACCCGCGCCTACTGGGCCTCGGCATTTCTTTGTGCCATGCCAGACTTATGGATCGGGGTTGAACGTTGTCTTGTAGCCTGACGCAGTTCACGCAAAGGGTTACCATGCTGCAATTGTTTAGTGCTGTCGCACGTTAAACATCGTTGTACGACGCGTTGCTGCTCAGCAGATTGAAGTTCAACTTCGCCTTCATCTTCAGCACAGATGAGATCCATCGGTTCCGGTCTGTTTAAGGCCGGACCACTTGTGGAGTATCTCTCGCAGAGCTAGGGTTGCACCCATTCTAGCCAAGCCTGGCCGACTTGACGTAATGCTCAGCACTAAGAGCAATTCCCACGGCTTTTCGAACGTAGAGGGGTGAACCCGAAAAACTTCGGTTCTGGCAATTCCAGTACGCAGACCTTCCACGAAGATAGTCACATGAACTGTCTCGAGCAGAGAGTAAAACTGCATTGCAGCCATGAGCGTTCGCAGCTCTTGGACATAGTCCGATAATTCATTCTTACCCTGGCGGGGAGCCAAAAAGCGTGACCGCACGCGGTAAGCCTGGTTAGGTGGAGAAAACACCTGTACCAATTGTGACTTGAGCGACTCCCATGAGCGAAACGCTATGTCCACCGACGTGCTACACGTCGAGGCCCATTCTCTAGCTCTTCCATCGAGCTTCGAGATAGCCAGCGAGACCTGTTGATGGTCAATCGTGATCAGGCCTGATGTCATGGCCATCTCAATCTTACGGATCCAGAGGATGAGGTTCTCACCCTCCTTACCGGAGTAGTTTTTCACTTCCACTCTAAGTGGAAGAGATCTAACCTCTTCGTCTGGTACAGCAGACACATAGCGTGTAGGCATAGCCGACGCTATTTGGTCTTGGACCTGCCCTAAAAGGGTCGCTTCATACTGCATGAAGCTTTCAACACGTGCATTAAGCACCTCAGGTCATTGTGAGACAAACAACTCCACGCACTCTGGACCCAAAGATGCGGTCAACTTATTAAGCGCGACCTTTTAAGCCTCAGAGGGAGTAGAGTTTTCCATCCTCACAGAGGATCAGTCTAATAGACTCAGGCGTAGATTGGCTACTAGTGCTACCAAGTGTGGCGGAGCTACACAGCTTCTTAAGTCAGAGGAAGACTTAACGCTCAAAGAGCAAGTTAGTGCTAAAGAACTGAACCCAATGATTAAACAAGCGTAACGCTTATGGTCCATGTTCCAGAAAACCAAACGATTCAGTGAATCGACAGCACTCAGTGCTCAAGAGTAGCTACCTCAAGGAGGTGTTACTAACTCTTAGTGATCAGTGATCAACGATCAAGATAACTCGCACGCCACGTGTCCTTTAGATCAAAATGTAAACTGCTTTTATTTGATGTTGAAACTTATAGAATATCTTAATCCTACTCAAAGATCTTTCGTTCCTAATGGATTACACTCGTCAGCCCCAACAAACCGATAAGATATTCGATATCACCTTCACAAAGGGGTACCATCAGGTGTGTGACACACCTGGTACAAAGTACCCTTCTACGTGCAACCCCTTTTTTAGCAACCATCTACAGCTTATACATGTTGATTGTACCCTATTGACCGAGATGAACCATCCATTCGAGTTCAATGATGTACGACGAAGCCAGCACATAGATCGATCCTGCATTCAGCTTTCACGTAATGAGGAGTTTTGATGCAGCTTTGTACCGGTTTCGCTTGTTGATTTGTCCTGTGCTTTCTTTTCAGGTTACAGTGGGGAACATGATATCGTTACCACATGGATAACACATGGCGATCAGAACCGGTGTAAGTCCACGATATTCCGCTGTTGCAGCAACTTCTTCAATCTCGAAGCGCATCAAAGGCATTTCAGGTCCTACAATTCAACACTCCACAACCTCCTATCCTGCAGCTTGAGATACTGGAAGCTAAAAAAGCTTCTCATGAACGGGTACCCAAAAGTTGGACGTCTCATTCATTTACACTCGCGTACGCGTATCTCGATACTCGTGTGTGTCCTTATCGGCTGAGGATACCGTCCGATGCAGACAAGTGTATCGACTCGCAGCTTGCCTGCAGATAGACGGCGCTTGAGCGCATCAATGCAAATGGTAACACCAACGAATGCTTCTTCTTCTTCACAAGAACAAACCTCCATTCAATTGTTCAATCATGGTAGTGGACACTACAAGTTGTACTTCTTTTCTGTCTCTACCTCCGCGCATTTCTCCGTCGATGTCATCTCCGTTGACTTTTCATGGAAAGTAGTGTCCGCCAGCGGCGCTGGTGTCATCGACGGTGTCACGTCTCGATCAACTTCTGACTCGGCCTGCAGCTGGCCTTTCACTGACGTCTTCTGTGCCGCACCGAATGGCGTCTGCTGCCACAGTGCTTCAAACTCCTCCGGACTACCGCTCGAGCAGATGGACTCGTGCTGTCCATTCTCTCCCTTGCCTTGTCGTCGCCAGGTCGTGCGCATCTTCTTTCCGTTGATCTCTCGTTCATGCACCGCTTTGAGATGACCCGTGGAGTCTTCGTAACGGCGACGCGTTGTTGCCACTCGTCGACCCTTCTCGTCCACAACAGACGAGTTGCTGAACGAGTAAGACGAGAACGAGTGGCTCATCGGGTCGTCATCCTTCAATGTCTTGGTGCTGGATACTTGTTGATCCTGTTGCGGTGCGTTTTGCACCGGTTGGAACGCCGTCGGCTTGTACTTGTGTGCCACCACAGGCAGGTCGACGAAGAAGTCGTCATCGTCCGTCGACTTCCCGGAGTACATGACGTGCTTTGGAGTTGGAGTGGCGAGCATCTCTCGACGCGCCCCAAACGGGAAGCGCGGTCGCATCATGCTGTCACTCATGTGCTCGAGCTCCATCATGGACTGTTCTAGAGATGACATGGGGTACCAGAAGCGCGGTCGTACGAGATCCCACGAGCTAAACATGGTTGCGTAACTTTGTCGTGTGTGGGTTGTTGCTACTGGTCGATCGTGCGGTTGGATGCAAATTGGGAAATGAAGGGGGACGTGGGTCGCCGCTCTCTTGGCGTGCAGACAGAGGCAGACCGATCATGATGATGTTGAAGTGCTTCGATCGAATGTTGTCGAAAGTAGCGTTTGAACCGTCCGATTCAAAATGTCATACACCTGAGGTGGCTGTTTTCTAGAACCGACTCCCGTCTTTTTCACCTTCTTTTTCGCGGATGTTTTTCCACTGACGACTAGAAAGTCGAGACGAAACCGATGGTCCTTCCAGTCCTCCGATGCTATACGCGCATGACACCACCCTTCCGGCGGGTACTGTCGTCCACGTGAATTTCGATCTTCTTGCGGACCCCGCATCTTCAGAAGAATGCACAACGGTGCTCAGGTCGAGGATCAGATGTTGTGTGGAAGTCGCGAGTTTCCGTAGCTTTTCAGCCGCCGTCGATATCCCATTTGCCATTGTGACCATACCAGCAGTAGTCGAGAAACAACGACTTCGTTCATTCTTTGAATACCAATCCCTCATTAGTACTGAAGGCAGTGTTTCTACATGTATTCGTGTACTGTCGACATGTGTCATCTACTCTGGTTGCAATGTGCGTTTTTCCTGTGCCTCTTGATGCGACTTTTTGCAGTCGCTTTTCTTGTGTACGACGACAGCGTCGTGATAAGAATCAAAATGCAGTCGATCAACAAATTGCAGAGTAGGTGGTCACATTAAAAAACAAGTCATACCTCTCGCGCTGTCCGTCTTGTCCGTGGAGACTCGTACCCAAGCTGCTCTTTGTGAGCACAACTTCCAGCACGGATGCTTTCATTGAAACCGTGATACACATCCACTCAGTCAACACTTACTCCGAAACTGCATGGTGGCATGACCTTGAAGTCGGTTCCATGTGATCGCAATTCGGTGGACGGGTACGTTGCTTTGTCAACTACCGTTTCACTGTCGAAGCTGTGTACATTACCCTTGTCAATACGTTTTGGGTTCCACCTTTGCTCTTAATGCTTCGAATGCCAAGCATTGCCGGTTTCATTCGTGCAGTCGTTGTTGAGGCCATTGTCGATATATGGTACTTGCCGGGTTCATGGATCATGTGTTGCCGTGCCATTGGAACCTGTGCACTGGCGATCAAATATGTACTGGCGTGCGCTGTGATGATAGCATACACTACGAATGAACGGCAGCACACCTGTGGACATCCCTTCGTCTCAGCTTCCTTCCAGAAGAGCGAAACACGATCTCATGACTGCGTTGCCCACATTGATATTCACTTCTGCTCACACATCTTATCCAGCCACCATCTACAGCTTATTCAAGTTGATTGTACCCTATTGACCGAGATGAACCATCCATTCGAGTTCAATGATGTACGATGAAGCCAGCACATAGATCGATCCTGCATTCAGCTTTCACGTAATGAGGAGTTTTGATGCAGCTTTGTACCGATTTCGCTTGTTGATTTGTCTTGTGCTTTCTTTTTAGGTTGCATTGAGGAACATGATATCGTTACCACATGGATAACACAAGGCGATCAGAACCGATGTAAGTCCACGATATTCCGCTGTTGCAATATCTTCTTCAATCTCGAAGCGCATCAAAGGCATTTCAGGTCCTACAATTCAACACTCCACAACCTCCTATCCTGCAGCTTAACTGGATGAGACACCAGAAGCGAAAAAAAGCTTCTCATGAACGGGAACCCAAAAGTCGGACGTCTCATTCATTTACACTCGCGTACGCGTATCTCGATACTCGTGTGTGTCCTTATCGGTTGAGGATACTGTTCGATGCAGACAAGTGTATCGACTCGCAGCTTGCCTGGAGACAGACGGCGCTTGAGCGCATCAATGCAAATGGTAACACCAACGAATGCTTCTTCTTCACAAGAACAAACCTCCACTCAATTGTTCAATCGTGGGGGTGGACACTACAAGTTGTGCTTCTTTTCTGTCTCTACCTCCGCGCATTTCTCCGTCGATGTCATCTCCGTTGACTTTTCATGGACAGTAGTGTCCGCCAGCGGCGCAGGTGTCATCGACGGTGTCACGTCTCGATCAACTTCTGACTCGGCCTGCAGCTGGCCTTTCACTGACGTCTTCTGTGCCGCACCGAATGGCGTCTGCTGCCACAGTGCTTCAAACTCCTCCGGACTACCGCTCGAGAAGATGGACTCGTGCTGTTCATCCTCTCCCTTGCCTTGTCGTCGCCAAGTTGTGCGCATCTTCTTTCCGTCGATCTCTCGTTCATGCACCGCTTTGAGATGACCCGTGGAGTCTTCGTAGCGGCGACGTGTGGTCGTCACTCGCCGACCCTTGTCGTCCATAACGGACGAGCTACTGAACGAATAAGACGAGAACGAGTGGCTCATCGGGTCGTCATCCTTCAATGTCTTGGTGCTGGATACTTGTTGATCCTGTTGCGGTGCGTTTTGCACCGGTTGGAACGCCGTCGGCTTGTACTTGTGTGCCACCACAGGCAGGTCGACGAAGAAGTCGTCATCGTCCGTCGACTTCCCGGAGTACATGACGTGCTTTGGAGTTGGAGTGGCGAGCATCTCTCGACGCGCCCCAAAAGGGAAGCACGGTCGCATCATGCTGTCACTCATGTGCTCGAGCTCCATCATGGACTGTTCTAGAGATGACATGGGGTACCAGAAGCGCGGTCGTACGAGATCCCACGAGCTAAACATGGTTGCGTAACTTTGTCGTGTGTGGGTTGTTGCTACTGGTCGATCGTGCGGTTGGATGCAAATTGGGAAATGAAGGGGGACGTGGGTCGCCGCTCTCTTGGCGTGCAGACAGAGGCAGACCGATCATGATGATGTTGAAGTGCTTCGATCGAATGTTGTCGAAAGTAGCGTTTGAACCGTCCGAT